GTAGATACGCACAGTTTTATATGTGCATATATGTGTATCTATGTAAATATCCATATATTTATCTATATTTCTATCTTTGCTATCTTGAGGCAACGTGGCATAGTAGGAAGGAGCTTGAGCTTTGAAGTCATTCAGCTTCTGCTACTCCCTAGCAGTGATACTTTGGGAAAGTTATGTATTTATATGCACCTTAGCTTCCTCACCTATAAAATGGTACAGTACTCCCTGCCTCGTAGGGTTTCATGAGGATTAGATGAAATGATGTATGTAAAGAGCTTGACACATGCTTGACACACACACAATATACCTCCAGCAAATAATATCTATTGATTTTGTTTCTTTCATGCAAACCAGATATATTTATTGAGTGCCTACCATGTGCTAGTCCTTTCCTAGGCATTGATTTTACAATGGGAAAGAAACCTTGCTATGATCCCTGCTCTCATGGAGCTTATAATTTTATTAATAATGACATGAATAAAGGTATAATTATAAACTCAGATGAGTGTTCTGAAGCAAAGGTATGCAGCACCATGAAATCATGTAAGAGGTGAACTTGACCTGGTCCGAGGGTTAAGGAAGGCTTCACCGGGAAGTGGTGTTCAAGCTTGGGGGCAGGTTGTGGTGGAGTGATCATCATTCTGGGCTATATGGACAAGTAAACAAGCAGCAAAAACACATGGTTACTTGTTCCTGGATGGTAAGCTTCTTAAAGTCAAGCATTATATTTAGATAATCACATATTCATTTATTTATTTTCTTTGTACCCAGCCCTGTGGAAAGACTCATCATAGATATTCATAAATATTTGTGAACTCAATGAATGAATACGCCTGACTCTCATTCTCCTTGTAAAAAAAAAAATGAATTTGCCATGTCTACTTCTAGGAGATAAGGGATATAAAGCATCTGAACACATTGCAAGGCTCAATAATTTGTAGACCTTATTACTATTATTGCCTTACAATTTGCATATGTCTTCTCTGCTACTGCATTGTAAGCTCCAGGTGGCAGGAAATGTATCTTATTTATCTTTGAACATCCCAAAGTACTTAGTGCAATGTCTTGCATAGAACAAATCATCTGTAAAAATTCAGAGAATAAAAAGCATTCTTAATTAGAAATTAAATGGACAGGTCAAGGAAATTGTTTACATTGAAAAAATAAATGGTCAAAGCTTGGTTACCTACTCTATCTGTAGGGACTATTTAATGTCAGTTTTGTGGACTAGAGATAAAATATATGTATGAAAAAAACCTCCAAAAGCTGTTGTGAAAACAAGCCAGAATCGTGTTTGGCAAAAACAAACAAACAAAAAACCCATCATGGAACAATTCATAGAGAATATCATGCATGTAATTCAAAGTGCACAGCTTTAAAGTCACCCTCTCTGAGGTCGCTCAATCTAAAGTATTCAATCTCTAGCACACTTCTCTGTTTTAATTATTTGCGTATCACTTACAGCTGTGTGATATTCTTCCTTTTCAGTTGATTGATTGATGCACTGACTGATTTTTTTAATTGCTTGTTTTTCCCACTAGAATGTAGGCTCTGTAGGAGCAGCGATCTTGTCTGACTTCTTCCCTTTCTGTAGCCACAGCACCCAGAGCTGTATCTTGCACATGGTGGACAAATAAATACCCGCTGAATAAAGGGGCATATAAACAAAAATAATACTATGTATTATTTATGGATGTCTATATAAGTTGCAAAAATATAAAAGGGAGTTGAAAGTATAAACAGAAATTTTCAAGGAGTGGGGTATGGAAGGGCAGGGGCTTGGGGAATGGTGGACTCAGCATGATGGTTAGAAGGAATTTCACTTAATTTTACCTGAAATGATTAATTAATTTTAAACCAACCAGAAGCAAAAGATGGCAAAATATTAACTATTTATTCTGATGATGAGAATTTGAGCACTGTATTCTTCTTCTTCTTTTTTTTTAAGTTCTCAAAACAATTTTTTTTTTTTTTTTTTGAGACAGAGTCTCACTTTGTTGCCCAGGCTAGAGTGAGTGCCATGGCGTCAGCCTAGCTCACAGCAACCTCAATCTCCTGGGCTCAGGCAATCCTTCTGCCTCAGCCTCCCGAGTAGCTGGGACTACAGGCATGCGCCACCATGCCTGGCTAATTTTTTCTCTATATATTAGTTGGCCAATTAATTTCTTTCTATTTATAGTAGAGACGGGGTCTCGCTCTTGCTCAGGCTGGTTTCGAACTCCTGACCTCGAGCAATCCGCCCGCGTTGGCCTCCCTGAGTGCTAGGATTACAGGCGTGAGCCACCGCCACCGCGCCTGGCCTTCAAAACTAATTTTTTTAAAAAATAGAAAGTCTGAATGGAGAAGAGTAAATTAACCCCTTGTAGTTTTACAGGATCTAAAGCTCTCTGAAGTGCTGTTACCTACACTACACTTGATCATCACAGTAATTTTGAGGTAATTATCATCAGCCTTATTTTTTACAGGAGGAAAATGAGACCAAGATTCATGAAGGGACTTGCCACAAGGACCAATCAAGTCAGGGCAATGTTTGGCTGAGAACTTGACCTAGGTAGGAATGATTTCTCTTTCAAGAGATAACACAGTTCAGATATGAGACCCAGATAAGAGGTAAAAAGAAATTAGTTTTGAGGCTATAGGCAAGAGACCTGCAAAGAATTCAATCTAAACTGAGCAAGTATTTTAAGCCAAATATTAATAGAACATGGGCTTTGGATGATCTTAGGTAAGTTGCTTACACTTTTTTAAAGCTTACTTTTCTCACCAGTAAAATAGGGTGATTACCTGCATTATATGGTTTTTGTGAGGATTAAGTTGTATACTTTTGTAAAAGACACAGCACAATATCTGGTACCTAATACACGTTCAAGAGCCGGGTGCGGTGACTCACACCTACAATTCCAGTGACTCAGGAGGCTGAGGTGGGAGCATCTCTTGAGCCCAGGAGTTTAAAACCAGCCTGGGCAAAATGGTTGAGACTGTGCATGGTGGCACACGCCTGTTATCACTGCTACTAGGGAGACTGAGGCAGAGGGCTCTTGAGTCCAGAAGTTCGAGGTTACAGTGACCTATGACCAAGGCACTGCCCTCCAACCTGAGTGACAGAGTGAGACCCCCTCTCTAAAAAAAAAAAAAAATAGATATTCAATATTTGTGTATTTTCTCTGCTTCTTATGCTCCCACGTATTATGCTGAATCATTGCGAACTGCATTTTTTATAGGTAAAATATGATTGAATATGGGCAATTTTGTGAGGTTGCTGCAATTACTCTATGAATGTAATCTCTCTGATATGACTGCCAGCTATTCCATCTAGAATTTACGTGTGAGGGAAGGAGAGACCCAAGTTTGAATAAAGCTTAATTGTTAGGGGCTTGGGTTTGAGATCTATTTGCAAGAATAGATAAAAGGGATTTACAAGTATGTAGGGAGGAGGAGGAGGAAAGTCCAACTGGCAGAGATAGGTTTACATAATCAGGGTTAGGCAATTGCAAACAGGACAGCTGCTCAATAGCTTTTGGCACCAAAATATATTGACCAGCTGGGGTATCATTAATGCTTAACAATTTTATCCTTATGACCATATCTTGGCCAATTAGGTTGTCTTTGACCACCAAAGGGTGTAATATATTCTGATGTAAATGCCACATGTGTATCTCTGTAGCTCATATTCACACTGATGTGTTGCATAATATACACTAAATATAAATGTATTTGCTTCTTGTATAAATGAATACCGTGTAAGATGGTTTGATTATAGAGGAATAGAATTAAATTAAAAATTGATTTCTTTTTTAAAAAGTAGTCGTTACCCTGGGAAACATTTGTGTGCACGTGTGTTTGCACTGAAAGTAAAGAAATCCAAAGAATTAAAATAATTTTAAAAAATGAATATCTAAAGTATTATTATAGAAAAAGTAATCTGGATGGGGAAAGCCAGTTCTGCACAACATATGCATACCAATAAATATAGACAAGAAGAGAGGCAATTGCTAAAAGGCAATAGTTGAAGAACGTAAAAAGAAAACTGCTTACAGAGTTAAAAGAAACCCTTGGGCCAATGCATAAGCCTATGAAGATATTTCATAAATGTTTCTAGCTGCGTATTCTCCTGATAGTACCCTTAAATTATGAGACAGGCAAAACAAATTAGAACAAAATATAAGAACATTTTTTTCACAATGTTTCAAACACTAAAATTTAATTCATTAAAATATTCAGAATATTTTCAGGACTTGTAATCTTGGCATTTGCTGAATAAAATTTATAATACGAAGTTTTTATTCAATAGCAAAAAACAGTCAACCAAACTCGGAAACCTTACTATCTAATTCAAAATGCATGTGAATATGGATTTTCACCTGTAAATTGTTTCCATTTTAAATAATTTGCAATTTATTTAACTTGATATCTATGGAAATTTTTTGGCATCTATTGAATTTTCATTAGCATCTCTGGATTGATCTTTAAGCCTGGTACTGGTCATATATTTTCCTTCCTTATAATACACATACTTGTTCAGCTACCAGTGACTGTTCTTCTTCCCCATGTAAACTACTAAAAGTAGCATCAGTGTTCCTTCTTCAAAGCCATAGAGAGACCTGACATTAAGAACTTTATATGGGCGCATCGGGAAACAGGAGGCAACCAAGTAAGTTACTCCTTACTTCGTTCTATGGAAAGAATTATCCATAGAAGTCAAATAAAACCCTGACTGAGTTGCGAAGGCAGCTACAAGTATAAGGAATCCTTTTTTAAAATTACTCCAACTTTTCCTTTCTTTTTTCTGCTGATGATTTGACAAGCTATTGATGAAGCACATTTTTATGGTCTAGTTTATTTCTTTTCCTTCTTTACGTGGAAGACTTGGAGAAAATAGATTACAGAATGTTAGTAGTAGCAAACTTTAGTGATCATCTAGGTTGAGTCCCTCATTTATAAATGAAAATCTTTAGATGGAGGAAGCTTCTACTACTTAATATTCTATGACCAGTTAGTGGCAGAGCCAAGACCAGATCCCAGACATGTATTCATAAGTAAATAAATACCATTTTCTCTAAATCATGCTATCTTAAAGCTACTTTTTAAGCCACCTTTCTCTTAAAATATTATGCACCCACTTAACGTTTTCAGACTGAAGAATCAGAACCTTTGCTGTTGTGGTTTTGCTTTTCAAAGGTCACACTAGGATAGCTTGTTAAGTTGAAACTCCTGGGATAAAGGAATCCTGGAAGCCAGCCTGGAGGAGGTGTCCATCTCGATGCTCCGTCTTTACCTTGCACTGGCACTCCTCCACCAGCATCACCACCTTGACCATGGGGGTGAGGCCAGTGCAGTTCAGAGGCAAGCGCATCGTGGTGAACTTGGTGGGCGAGCAGTGGGAGCAGAAGATATGTGGGTGCTGTGCAGCTCCAGGCAAATGAACAGACCCACATTTCCCAAAGCAAAGATTGTTCTGGACAACCACATTTTCACAGTCTTCGTGGGTAATAGTCTAAAAGGCAAACACATTGGCATTATGTTACCTTGAGTCATTTCCTTAACACACATGTTGCAGAGGTTGTAGACTGTAAGTCTGAGGACAATTTAGACTAAAACTTCCTAAGCTTTCCAATTTGGGATACATTTTGCAATATCTGAGTGATGGTATCTATAAGGGCATAGAGCTACCTCAACTAAATTTTCTTTATTGAGTAAATTATTGAGTTAGCCTTTAAGAAATTCCTAAGTTAACATGAAAATATTTTATGCTACACTATAAGTACAAAACTTCAAGAAATTTTGTCTAATTGGATGGGACTAATAGGAAAAATTCTAATGGCAATTTTCTTATATAAGTAATGTGCCTTACCTTTTTATGCTTCACAGTGCTTTGTGTATATTAGGTTCTCAATACATGTTTGTTTTCAATTGATCATAATACAGATTGGAATATTATGAGTTTAATTCTATCCTATTTTGCAGGGCCTTGTAATGTATTCAAATCTATGAAGTTGCATGCAGCAGAGTTGCAATGCTTCCGCCTGCAAGTCCTTATGCGTTGCATCACCTTTGCCTCTCTCATAACCCCATACACCTAGCTTTATGTGCCTTTCAAAATATGTAAGGGTCAGATGCCTTCATTTTAATTTAATTAGCAATAAAATTCAAAATAAAAATTTCAAAGGAAATTTGATTGCCCGATTCTTAGGAGTAATTTTCTAATTGCACGTGGGCCAACAAAGCAGTCATTATTATTTGATAATTGACTTGTCATTGCTACATATCCTTGCCTTTCCAAGCAGAATACTTAACTGCCTTGCACAGTCAATTGCCCTGTAATACCGTTTGCTTAATTGGGTAGCATTACTGGACTGTAAAATTTTACTCTACCCTGTGTTGTTTTTGGTTCATTATCTTCATGTTTAAGGACCTGATGCAAGTTCTCAATTTTAATTTAACATTTGAAATGTGAGGTTGCCAGCACTGAAGGAAGTAGATAATAGAATGCCCCCTTGTCCCAATAGTGCGGAATTGATTATGACAGCTACAAAGCAGCCAACACAGCATGGATCAGGAGAAAGGTATTTCTAACGGGAGAGATGTGATTTCACATTGAGATGATTTTTTTGAAAGCTTGTGAGAAAATAAATGAAACCAAATTATTTTTTGCTATGGTGATACCAGAAATGACATGACAACTTTTGCCTGCAAACTTCAACATACTTTGAGTCTGTGGGATAGACTTTTAAAAGTTGAATAGCTTTGACAAGCTATTAAAGAAGCCCTTAATAAACCTATGAAGTAGTTAGGTGTGAAATGTAGGGATTAAGACCATAATAAATGAATATGAGAGTGTTTGGAGAGCAGTTCAGTGTATCCTACCTTATCTACAGATGAATTTGACCTGCTCATCCACATCCTAACAGAGCGTGTTAATATAGCTACAAAGAAGTTCTGATCATTGCTTTAAATTTCAAGGTTCCTAACTGAGGGTACCATCTTACTTATCTCTCTTGATTGATCACCCCCAATGTAAAAATAAATAAATAAAACAAAGCTATGTGTCGCGAATATGAATGATGCTGATATTGACAATATCGTCATCATTGTGCAGCATTTTCAGAATGCCAAGAAATAATGGAAAGGTTAGAAGGAAATTAAACCTTTTTCAAGTGCTATGATGAACACCCAAGGACCAAATCTGAAGTTAGGCAAGACTCAGGCCCCTGACAGACTTTCCCCTACTCTCCACCCATCCCAGCTATCCACCCTCGTTCTGAAAACCCTTATCTGCTCCTGCCACAGAACACATACCTGGCTGAAGGGCACTGTCCTACAGGTCTCCCAATGTACTTCATGGCTTTTAATGGGCAAGACGACCCCCTGAGAAGCTGGACTCTTTCTGAACATGAAGTGGTGCCAGAATTTCTTGGCTTCTTCCCGAAGAGGAGATCTCTCCATTTTCGTCCCATCTGTTGGCTGGGCGAGAGGCTGGGTCCCTGGTGGGAAGTGCTCAGTCTCTGAGTCCTTGGGTGGCTGTAGTTCTCTCTCTGGCTTCTTCCAGAACCTGCCAAGTCTGGACAGCATCTTCTCTCTCTGCCTCTGGCCGTCACCTGCGGGACCGGCGCGTATTAGGTGTGGCACTGCCACAAACAGATCCGGCTTCTCCTCTGCTTCCTCGTGGTTGCCCATGGGGAGCTCTCTTCTAGTCCTTTCTAGCAGCACAAGGGGAAGGGAACTCTGACCCTGGCTGCCATCCTGGGGCTGCCCGCCCTTTCCCAGAGGCAGGAGCAAAAGGAGCTGAAGTAAGAGGAGCTGCATGCTACCTCAGAAGCCTCTGTCAGATTCGCAGAGCCCAAGGCCTGGAGGAGAGGCTCACTCTCTGCAGGATGCGAACAAGGAAATCCCATATATAGATACCTGCCTGGTGGGATGGGAAGGCAGGTGGTCGGTAGCCAGGCAGAGTAAACACATTTATTGTTTGCTTGAATTATGTAGTGCTAATGGTGTCCAGCCTTCTCTTTGGTTTTGTGTATTTAAAAGGCCCCAGTGAAAGCCTGGCCCCAGGGGGTAATTAGCTGACAGTTTAACTCTTGTCTGAGATTTAAGGAGCAGGATTAGAAAAAAGCAACACATTCCTTGCCCAGATTTCCCATCAGGGTTGTTAGAAGAAGGACTGGAGTCGGCTAACATTTGCTGTGCAGCTGCATTGTGCTGGGATAGAATAGAAGATGAGATATATTTTTATGAGAGAAATAAGCATAAAAATTATAAAGATAAAATTTAGGGCAGGTAAAAATTAAAGGCATACATTCAGCAAAAGCCCAGGCCTTTAGGAAGGCTCTTTATCTCCCTCCCTCCCTCCATCTCTGTCTCTCTGTCTCTCTCTCTCTCTCTCTCTCACACACCCACACACACACACACCAAAGAAACATGTCAAAATTATAAGAAAGGGAATGGAAGAGATAGAAGGATGTTGACATTGTTGAGCAGAGGACTTATTGCCTCTTACTTACATGTAAATTAGGGTTGTTGATTTTTGTATGGTAACTGAGTGACAATACATTCTCCTTTTCCACACCTGGAAACTCACAATTCCCAAGTTAATCCTCTCATATTAAGAATCAATTACGGAGTGCTAAATTTCACAACTGGTCAGTCATCAGATAAGCTCTTCCAATTGTTCACATAGTTCTCAGCAGGATCCTAAGTAGACTGACAGCTTATCAATCTTCCGTGAGGCTGGGGAAATGTCTCCCTTGAGCCACCTTATTGATTTTTTTCTATCTTTAAATAAAGAGCCAGACGTGACAACAGTGGATTCAAGAACCAGGTTTGATAGCTTTGGTCATGAAGCTGGCCGGTCAGTTCCTTACCTTACTGAATCCACATTACCTTCCCTTATTCCCTTATACAGTAGTTGATGTGCATGTTAAATGAAGATTGAGACAAACATGAGTCTTCAGGGATCAAAGGACAATTTTTTAAATGACTATCATTCAAAACTATCTTAAATCAGTCAAGGGTATGAGAAAGAAACATTCACAAAACTGATGGCCCAGAATTGAGTTCAATCAACTCACTAAGTAATTGGAACAGTATTTCCACTGGGAATCAATGCAATACTTTCTTATATTCACCATATTCCTTGCTTTTATTAATACAAATAGTCCTGGAATGTGTCCCCCCTTTTTTTCAGTATTGATTAAGCTTTCTTTCTAAGAAGTGACCCATTGGAGTCTTTTTTTCTAAGCATTTACATTCTTGTTGATAGTCATGCCTGATTTCTATGAAATAAAGCCTCAAGTACATGCCTTTACCTACCATAATGAACTATTTTAAAACAGACTATCATTTTACCAGAGTTCTATGAGAAGAGATATATATTTTACTCACACCAAATATCCACAGAATCTTTGTGGTATTAAAGTTACTATTTAGTTATTGTTGAACTAAATAAGCATTTGTATTTGCCATTATTTTTAAGGCAACTTTTTTTTTAGTTAGTTGCTATTTCAATTTTTAACCCCCCCCCCCAGCCATCTAATGCAATAAGCTTTCCAGAGCCAGCCACTAGGCTCCCCATAATAAATCTGGTGTGGCCACCTATGATACAGTTCCTGATTCCTTTTAAGCTTTACTTTTCAGTAACTGAAATTCCCATTGCTGTCAATCATAGTATCTAGCATTTCCCAAAACTGAAGACTAGCCCAGAGATTCCATCTCAGGTTGCCTGGCTCTGAAATCACTTGACCTAGTGTACAGTTGAAATAATTTCAGTTGAACTGAAATTTGCAGAAGATTAATTTTATGGGCTAAGAATCCTGTTAGACACTGGGAGATGATTGAAAATGATTAAAACTTGGACACTGCCCTCAAGCAAGTTAGATAGTCTAACTTGGTATTATACATCCTTTAACTTTATTATATCATTTTTAGGGATGTCAATGACCCGTTTTTAACTTTGCTTTAGTCCTCAACTTCCCTTCCTCTGATCCTAATTTTGGTGCTCATAAATGCCATTTAAAAATTACTCATGGAAAATTTCCTTTTGCTGTTTTTGTCATTCCTGTTGAGAAAATGTGCAAATATCCTGAAAAGTAAATCTAACAAAGTAAAACCTTCTGTGATGAGAACCATGGAACATAAACCTGTCTCCGATCTCCGTCGTTTACAGCTCAGGGCAGATGAATTTCACCTTTTACCTTTAACCACCGTGTCCTTTCATCAATTCTAAAGCCATGTATGTGATGGGCTGTAGTCTACTCTTAAGTACATAAACAGATATTTTTGTAGCTTTTAGCAAATGTATGTTGTCCCTGTTGGTCTTCAGTGGATACAGGCGTGTAGTTACCACCCAATTTGGATGAGCCAAATGGAGGTGGGTCCAGAGCAGACCTCCAGGCACAGCAGGAAGCTTTTGTGAGGAGAGAGCGTCGCCAGTTGTTGGTGTGCTTAGTAGCAAATGCCACAGTGAAAGGTAGGCCGGAGCTTACTCCCGTGAGTGAGCCCGAGCCTGCCAAGCCCACTTCCTGAGCCAGCCTCAGGCATGCATAGGGGCCAGAGGGGCCAGTCTCAGAGTTGATTCATTTCAATTTACAGCTCATGCTCTGCATGATCTAACTCTATTTTCAATTTGACCTGATTTTCTTAGGCACTAAGATGTCTTTGGGAACCCTGAAGGGCTTCGTGGAGACACCTCAATAAAATACGTGTCCATATGCTAGTGATACTTCCACAGAATGAGCAGGAAAACAGGCCCCAGCAGCTCACAAGGCACGTTGAGCTTGTGAGTCTCAATGTCTTTTCTGAGCTCTTCGGTGTGGCTGTGAGAGGCCAGTAACAGCTACATCTTCCATCCCTCTTCCAGACCCTCAGAAGGGAGCTACAAAGAATCCTAGTGCTCTCTAAGGGGAAACAGAGCGGCTAAGTTCTTTCCTGAAAACCCCAGTCCTAAATCAACAAAAGGAGAGAGGCCATGTTGAGGTAGGGGATGGGCATTAGACTTAAACAGGGCAGCTGAGAGCTGCGACAGGGAATTTGGGCTGATGGATCTGTGGGAGCATGTCGTTGCCTCATAGCTACCTCTCTTCAAAATATAAAATAGCAATAGTGTCATGGGAATTTCTATTGTTTTTAAAAACCTCTAAAGAAGGCAGAATCTTTTTTTTTTCTTTCATGTTTTCCAAAGGACAAGGAAAAGAAAAAACTAGGGTAAGTGGTTTCCCTTTAAACCTTTTTATCAGCAGTTTAGTTTAGTAAATGATTCAAAATGTAGAACTCTGCCTCTACTACTGCTCCCATCCTCTGTGGAAGGAATACAGGAGGAAGAGCTCACTGACCACAACTGCTCCACTTACTGGACTCATTCATCCACTTATGCAGCATACGTCTGAGTGCCAAGTCCACGCTAGGTCCTGGGATAAACAGTGAGGGCGTCTTTGTCCAGGCCTAGTGGATTTTGCAATCTAGTTTATTCAAAATAAGTTTTGCAAGGAAAATTTAGACATGCATCATTCTTGTATTAATCAGGGGTTTCTTGGAAGATCCAAATCTTAAAGACAAAATGGACTATGCTCTATTTGTGCGAATTTTATTCAGTAAACATGTGTTGAATGAAAGGAAGTGCAATAGACATTGTGCAATAAATTTCTCTTTTTTCTGAGTAGGTAATAAGTATACCTAGTAACAAAATTCAAATAACACAAAAAATTGCACAGTGAAAGGTATGTCTTCCTCTGCCTGTCCTTGCCATGAGGCAAACACGATTACCAGTTTCTTTATGCTTTTTTTTTTTTTTTTTGAGACAGAGTCTCGCTTTCTTGCCTAGGCTAGAATGAGTGCTGTGGCGTCAGCCTAGCTCACAGCAACCTCAAACTCCTGGGCTCAAGCAATCCTCCTGCCTCAGCCTCCCGAGTAGCTGGGACTACAGGCACAAGCCACCATGCCTGGCTGATTTTTATATTATATATATTAGTTGGCCAATTAATTTCTTTCTATTTTTATGGTAGAGACGGGGTCTCGCTCAGGCTGGTTCCGAACTCCTGACCTTGAGCAATCCGCCCGCCTCGGCCTCCCAGAGTGCTAGGATTATAGGCGTGAGTCACCTCGCCCGGCCTATGCTATCTTTTTTAACTGTCACCCAAATAGACCAAAATATGTAACCAGTAGAAAAGGATAAACAGCCTCTAAAATCCCCCATTTCCACTTCTAGGCACTGAAGACTAAATTGTCTTGTAAAGATTAGATTTTTCTCTTTGTAGTTTCAGTGATCTTCCTGCTCTCTGTTCAAACACCCCCAAACCGTTGCGAAGTTGGTTTTTTTTTGTTTGTTTGTTTGTTTTTTAAACTTGGGATGTATCTACTACTGTGCAAAAGTCATGGACAACACCTAAATGTGTCCAATCAGCTACTCAGCAAGTGTGCAGAGAGAGCTCCTCAAATCTGAGAAGCAGGCAGAGGCAGCATAAGCTGGCCTCCCAAACTCCTGGGCTCAGGCAATCCTCCTGCCCCAGTCTCCTGAGTAGCTGGGACTACAGGTATGTACCACCATGCCTGGCTAATTTTTTCTATATATTTTTAGTTGTTCAGCTAATTTATTTCTATTTTTAGTAGAGATGGGGGGGGGAGGGTTGTCTCACTCTTGCTGAGGCTGGTCTTGAACTTTTGACCTCGAGTGAGTCTCCCACCTCGGCCTCCCAGAGTGCTAGGATTACAGGTGTGAGCCACCACGCCTGGCCACCTTGACTAGTTTTTATTCTACAAAAACCTGATCTCAGAGATGACTAATGTAAGTGGAAGTGACTCTGAACTTCAAGCCAGAATAACTAGATCTCATT